CGGCTTTCGGCCGCCGCCGGCCCCGCGCCTGGACCGCCCTGCCCCGCTCCGCTCCGCCCGGCTCCGTGGCCGCGCCGGGACCGCCCATGCCCGCTCCGCTCCGTCCGCGGCCGGACTGTGAGGGCTCCGTGCGGGACCGGTTAACGAGCGGGGCTCGGGCGCTGTCCCGGCACGCGGTACCAGCCGCAGGTGCCCGCGTGGCGGCCCCGGCCGTCCCGTGTGGGCAGCACGCGGTGGCGGTCCCGGCGGGCTGGCGAGCCCTCAGCCGCTGCCTGAGGGAGGATCCGCTCATGCCGCTGCCCGGCCGCATCCTCGCCGCAGGGACACGTGTTGTGTTGTGTCCTGCTGGCTTTGTGTGTTCCTTTTACAGAAATAAACAGGTGCTGCTGGCTTGCCTGGCCGGCTTTTCGCTTTCAGGTCTGCGCTGGGTGGGGGTTGTTTCCACGGGCACAGGCCCAGGCTCAGGGCGATGGTTTTGCACCCTTGAGGGGTCCTGTGCGGCCGAGAGAGGGCTTTGGAGCTGCTAACATCCAGCCTTGGAGCTGCTAACATCCAGCTCTGGAGCTGCTAACATCCAGCCTTGGAGCTGCTAACATCCAGCCTTGGAGCTGCTAACATCCAGCCTTGGAGCTGTTAACATCCAGCTTTGGAGCTGCTAACATCCAGCCTTGGAGCGAGAAGGCCCCGGTCTTGAAGCGCTGCACCAGGCAGGTCTTGCCCACGCTGGCGTCGCCGATCAGCACCAGCTTGAAGAGGAAGTCGTAGCCCTCCTTGGGGTCGCGGACGGCGCCCGGCGCGGCCGCTCCGGGCCTGGCGGGGCGCGCGGCGGCCGCGGCTGGATATAATTTTTGGTGATCCATGGTTGCATTCCAGCCAAGAGGAGAGGTTTGAGTACTCAGTCAGGCTGGACCAAAGGCTTTCTGTTCCTGCAGCCCTGAATTAAGCAGGACACTGCATCCTTGGCTATTGACCAGCCAGGACAGAGAAGGTGTTAAAGAGATAATGAGACATCACTCTGTGTATGCTTTCATGCTAATTATATTTTCAGAGCTGAGGAAAACACTTAGGTTTGTTAGGAGGAAGCATTGTTAGAGATGTCAGTCTTTAATATCTATAATTCATTGTATCCTATCATTTCAATGGAAAACTAAAGGTGCTATTTCTGTGAAGATAATTATAAATCAGCTATTTCATTATCCTTGCTAGAGATCATTGCAAACATTTTTCTGTTAGCTGTTATTGTTGCTGCTTGTCATCACAAGCCTTTAACTGCATTTAGAATAGAGAACTCCTCAAACAAAACCCACAAACTGTCACATTATATTGTTGGGCTTACGTGAGGGATCTGTGATGAGCTCTCTCACATTGTGAAAGCTGTAAGTAGTGGTTTGAGTGTTAAAATATTTGCTTTACTTTGATTAATCCCCAGACCCCATTGGGGTTAACACCTCTTTCATGCAAAGGTAAAACAGGAAAAACAAAATGGGTTTGAGTCAATTTCAGTTTGTATCTGGCTGTATTTGAGAGTGGTTCATCAGAAAAGAGTAGAGTGTGCTAGAAACACTCTAGCAGTCTCTTACCTAGTACTACTCTAGCAGTACCTAGAAAACAGCACTAAAACCTGGGAGAAAACCCCCAAAACTGGCCTTGGTCACAGTTTTCTGTTCTCTCTGTTCCACAGGGGAAGTGAAATTTCACCTCCACCAAGGCAAGCTGCAGAGCCCCTGGGTGCAGGGGAAGGTTGTTGGCAATTTCCACATTAGATTTGGGGGGGAGGGCTGGGTTATGGCTCAAAGCAGCTGCTGGAGACTTGAAGTTTAAAAGGAAATTAGTTAAGTTCTGACCATCTACATAATTGTCTACAGCGATCTCAGATGAAACAGAAAAAACACAAGGGAGATGCTAAAATCTGTTCTCCACTCTCCTGCGGCACTGGAGAAGGAGCCGAGGGCTCCAAGAAAGTTCAGAAACTCTGTGAGGACACAGTGAATTGACTGAATTCTCTGCAGCAGCAAGCATTCATTCACACTGGGGATATAGAACAGTCACCAAAATTGCTCGTGAAAACCAAGATGACTTGAGTTATGGCTTGGTGGGCACATGGTTTATGCTGCGTTCCAAGAGAAATTTCCCAGCAAATTTCAACATTTTGTATTTACAATGCAGGCGTGATGTTTGATGTGGTAGTGCTCCTTGTGTGGTACAGCCTTTCCCTGGTTAGATTTTGGGTAAGAGAATGTTTAAGCATCTGCAGCTCTTGATATAATTTTATGGCCTGCTGATTTTACAGCTGAGTCAGCTGGAATGGGCTGAATTCTTTCAGACAACAAAAGTAGTGATATATTGTAATTTCTTTTTAAAGAGAGCTATTTGTTAAATATTTAAAGATCATATTTTATAATAAATAGAGAGTAAATAATAAATATAATACATACAATATTAATATATATAATATATAAAATATATATAATATATGCAAAAAACTACTTATTTGGGGTTTGTTGTTTTTTTTTTTTTAAGTAATAAAACCATGCTCCCACACTCAGCATTACCTGACATAGCCCCATAGATTTGGTGCATAAGTTCTTACTCATGCACATTAAATCATACATTCTCTGTGACTCTTGAGTTTCTGAAAGCAAGCTGCTCTTGTACCAATCTTAGAATATTTTTAATATTTTGAGCTTTCCTTCTTGAGGAGAGTACCTGAGTGTTTGTGTTTGCAGGAGAGACAACATTTTGTCCTCTCGGTGGGGTGTGGAGCTATTAACCCCAAAGGGCTGACACGAATGGATGGATGGGTGTTGTGAAGGCCATCACCAGTGAAGAGATATTCCTGCTGTACAGGAATTCCTGCTGGCAGCCTCTCTTTGCCGTGTTTGTTGTGTGAGCAGGAATTGGGGAGCAGCACATGGACAGAGATGCTCTTTAGGCTGATGGTAAGAACTGGATGCTGCATATCAGTTAGGTAAGGGAATGGTAGGGAAAAAGACCCACAAAAGGATTTAATTTCATTATTTTGTTTTACTTAATATATATTTTTTCCCTTTTTTATCAGGCTTTGATAGGATGAAGTCATAGTACAAAGTTACTAGTTTAATTTGAATTTACATAAAAGTTCATCATCACTTCAGGAGAACAGAAGGCATAAAACCTTAGTCAAGTTTCAATATAATATTGAGCTGTGACTTTGGGAGTTGTAGTAGCAGAAAATTCCAGGCATGTCTAAAAATGATTAATTACAGTGAAGAAAACAAATGGAGATTTTATTGCCCAGTGATCAGAATTATAATAACTCCAGGCTTCTGCCAGTTGAAAACAATTTGTGTCTTGCACCTTCTGACACTTCAGGACAGAAAACTTGTATGGAAACTCTGGGAAGAGCTGGCAGTAATTGGTAGCTTGTTTGGAAAATCTCAGCCCATTCCTTGGAAAGGGTGACAGATTCTGGGGAACTTCTGTCCCTGTGGAATTCAGCAGCCACTAGGTGCCAATGTTGGTCCAGTTTCAGAGTTGGACAAAGCAGTGATGGGAGGCAAAGGAATCCCTTTGGGGCTCTGAGTTTTTGCTGTGCAGAGTTTGTGTCCTTTCATTGCCCCTTTCACAGAATTCACAGAATCACAGAATCACTGAGTTGGAAGAGACCTTCAAGATCATCAAGTCCAACCCAGCCCCAACACCTCAATTCAACCCTGGCACCCAGTGCCACATTCAGTCTGTTTTTTAACACATCCAGGGAGGTGACTCCACCACCTCCCCAGGCAGCCATTCCAGAACTTTACCACTCTTTCTGTGAAAAATATTTTCCTAATATCCGACCTACATTTCCCTTGGTGAAGCTTGAGGCTGTGTCCTCTGGTTCTGTCAGAGCTGCTGGAGAAAGAGCCCAGCCCCAGCTGAGCACAGGCACCTTTCAGGAGCTGTGGAGTGATAAGGTCACCCCTGAGTCTCCTTTTCTCCAGGGTAAACACCCCCAGCTCTCTCAGTTGTTCCTCACCGGGTTGGTGTTCCCAATCCCTCTCCAGCCTTGTTGTCCCCTCTGGATGTGCTCGAGCGACTCAATGTCCTTCCCAAACTGATGGCCCAGAACTGGACACAGCACTCGAGGTGCGGCCTCACCAGTGCCAAGTACAGGGACAGAATGACCTCCCTGCTCCTGCTGGCCACGCTCTTCCTGACGCAGGCCAGGAGCCATTGGCCTCCTTGGCCACCAGGGCACACTGCTGGCTCATGTTCAGCTGGCTGTGACCAGTGCCCCCGGGTCCCTTTCTGCCTGGCCACTGTCCAGCCACACTGTCTCCTCATGCTGTAATTGCTGGTGGTTTAGTTTTTGTCTTTCCCTAATCCAGCTTTTGATAAGTGCACCTGAACGTTACATTACTGGGTTTTGCAGTGTCCTTTCAAACTCAGGGAAATCAAAAATACTCTCAGTTCTAAATGCTCTGTTGTCTTGAGGGCAGCCTTTGATGGTGTGTCCTTTGCCAGACCTTCCTCTGCTTTGCACTGCTGCTGATGGGAGAGGGTTGCAAAGGTCGATTTTATTTGGATGTGTCAGGTTCCAGAGTCCTTCCCCATGGCCATAAGAGGCAATCTATGAATCTTTGTCAAAAAATAAATTATTAGTTAAGAGGTTAAAACCCTTTTGACCCCTCAAGAGGAGACAAGACAGATGATTCAAGGAGAAAAGGGAAGCTGCAATCCATCCCTGCTGACACCCCCCTCCCTAGAGATCAAGGTCATTTAAGAAAGAGCCTCATTTGAATTTTTTCCCCTTGGACTAAGATGAATGCTCTGTATTTCTGAAGACCTATTCCTTAATAGTATTCTGAGGGAAGAGGTTTCAGTCCACCTTTCCCAGGGAATGTCTTGATGCAGAACAGCACCATTCAACTTTAATAACTTTGGATTGCTAGAGATCTGGATGCTTGCTGGTCAGACAAGCCAAACCAAATGAAATCTGAGCAAAATTCTAAACTCTAACATTTCTTTTGGCTAAAATGAAGGTGCTAGGTCAGGCAGTAGCTGTGACATCACTGGGATGAACATTGGGAATTGCTGCCGGGGAAGGCAGTGGAGAGGCCACGTCAGGAGCCAAGTGCCCCTGGGAAGGAGCTCGGTATAAATAGCAGCCATGTGGCCATTATGCAACTGGAGCAATTTTATTTTATTTTATTTTATTTTATTTTATTTTATTTTATTTTATTTTATTTTATTTTATTTTATTTTATTTTATTTTATTTTATTTTATTTTATTTTATTTTATTTTATTTTATTTTATTTTATTTTATTTGTTGTCACACACCCGTTATTGAGTGTAATCTGAATTTCAGTGGAGTCAGTCTAATGGCAAAATATTTATGTGGGTTCCAGCGACAGGGCCGCAGCACTTTGGGAAATGGTTTTGTGCTCTGGAAAGAAAAGGCATTAGGATAAATAAACTTAGCATTGCTAAGCATTACAGTAAACTTAGCACCATCAAAGGAGTCATTAGGTAGGAATTGTTAATATTTCATCTGTTGGCAGTGAAACTAAAATCCTGTAATTCAGGTATAAATCATAACATGCAAGTGTGTGGGCCTTCCTTAAGATTCCAGGAAGAATAGCAGTTTTGTGACGCCTCAAATTGTATTTTAATAATTCCCCAAACAGTGCATTTAAACATAAATCAGCATGAGAATGAATGTGCATTGGCTAATTAATTTAGAATAGAAGAGTGGCAGCACACACCAGCCAAGAGCCTGTTTCACTGCATTTGGCATGTCTTTTGTACATTGAATTAGTGTTTAGTTCTTACAGTTTATGTTTTCTAGTTCTTCCCAGCTTGTTCTGGAACTTGGCTGATAACAAAGGCAGCACCCAC